TCAATTTCTAGTCATCGCATGTGACAAGTGGTTGAAGTACAATACAGGACAGGAGTCATACAAAGCGAGCATATTCTTGAGGTGTAAATGGCTGAGGAGTGCTGAAATCATTTATCGAATCAATCCATCAAAATTTTTTTATTAGTAAAATCATGATGTATGAGAGGTCATGGGTCAAATGATAATTAGTATCATATCCATTTATCAAATAGCTTTCAGAATTTTATTATAAGCAGCAGACGTTTTGGATACAGTAGATAAAGAGGGAACACTAAAGTGATCAATGAAAATGTATCATGAAACGAAGCCTACGTTGTTAAATAATTTTAATAATTTATTTCAAAATATTATTATAGAAGCAAGTAAATAATAGTTCCAGCTTAAAATATCAAGCAAAATTTTTACTTTGTATTTGATTGATCTCATTTATAATATTATTTTGAGTCTTATATTCAATCATAATGTTTCAGATTCTTCCAGACCCTGCCTTTCTACTAGTCTTAGAATATATATAGTATTTTTAAGACTGTTATATGAAAGATTAATCCAAAGTAATTGCCTTTTTGTATAGACAGTTCGAAATTCTATGGTAAGATTTACATGAATGTTATATTATAATTTGATTTGCTTATTAGTGACAGTTGATATACACCATTATATTAAATTCGATGATTTTATTACTTGATTGTAAACTAAATCATTAGTTGATTCTGTACGAAATAAATATATAAGCTATTGATCATATTTTATGTAAGATGAATAATATGATAATACAATATTAAGAATGTTTTAGGGATGGCTGAGAATTGGTTGAAGAGTTTAAGGATAAGTATGGAAAGATAGTTTCGTATTCAGGGAACTAATAAAGTGTCAATCGAATAACATTAAAATTCATGGATGTTATTAGTGTCTATATTCATACTATGATGTGTAAATTGCATTAATTAATAGGTCATGAAGATCATATATATTATTGGAGTTATAATTTTGTTTATAGAACTTCTGAAGATGGAAATTACGAAAAGAAAGTTGCAAAATTGAAAAATATTGAAAAATAATTGCACCTCCACAATTCTAAATTTAATATTATTAATAATGATGCCTCACAATTTGGCAAGTTATCTATTTATGTAATCCTAATTATTTGATCCTTGGTGTAAAGCATCCAAATAACATTGTTTAGCTTCTTATTTGAACTGCAACTCAAATAGTGAATCAGCTATATAGAGATTAAATTAAAAAAGTACCTTTTCTTTATAGTCTATTAGGATTTATGCAAATAGACAGAGCTTAATCAAAGCATTTAATAGCATCCGTATATTTCTTTTAATTATGTAAGGCCAAGCCTGAATTATAAAACGATTTACCTTTATTACTCAATGCTGTATCATTTTTAGGATTAATAGAAATTGCTTTGTCGTAACATTCAATTGCTTCCTAATACTTATTAAGACTATCTAATGCCATGCCTAAACAATAATAATGTGTCACATTACTTACCCTTATTATACCATGCTGTATCATATTTAGGATTAATAGAAATTGCTTTTTCGTAACATTCAATTGCTTCCTAATACTTATTTAGAGACTTTAATGCCCTGCCTAAACAATAATAATGTGTCACATTACTTACCCTTATTATTAAATGCTGTATCATATTTAGGATTAATAGAAATTGCTTTGTCGTAACATTCAATTGCTTCCTAATACTTATTAAGACTATCTAATGCCCTGCCTAAACAATAATAATGTGTCACATTACTTACCCTTATTATTAAATGCTGTATCATATTTAGGATTAATAGAAATTGCTTTGTCGTAACATTCAATTGCTTCCTAATACTTATTAAGACTATCTAATGCTATGCCTAAACAATAATAATGTGTCACATTACTTACCCTTATTATTAAATGCTGAATCATATTTAGGATTAATAGAAATTGCTTTGTCGTAACATTCAATTGCTTCCTAATACTTATTAAGACTATCTAATGCTATGCCTAAACAATAATAATGTGTCACATTACTTACCCTTATTA